AGAAAAAGACAAGAAGCATATGAGCCACAGCACTTACCTGAGCACTTTAAATAAAAAAAAACAAAACAAAAAAAAAAAAACAGAAATCAGTTAAGCATTACATTAAAATATTAAACTTCCACCCGAAAGACGGTATAATTTGAAAAAAAAATAATTTGCACCAATAGAGAGGAGATTGCTTCCATATTTCTTTGGCTGATCCGGACTTAAGCACATAGTTCTCTCTTTATGTCTTGCTATTAAAAGTATTATTTTCCCACCTTACTTCCCGTTTCATGATTTGAAAAAAACTTGAACCAAGGCAACCTGAGAATGTATCTACATAAATATTACTATAAAAAAATAAGCATAGATTTTCTATTCTTGAGTAGTAAATTCTAAAAACATGTTCATTATATTCCTCCGTATACTTTGATATTCTTTTGTGGCATTGCCCTACACCCAGCTGGTTGATAATCTTTATGAGGATGTTCCAATGATAATAAGACTAAAAATGGCTTTTCTGTTCCCTAGAAGAGGATATTTTGTAAATTTTTTGCTTAATGTTCAGATTTATGACTTGTATCTACTTTTGTAGCCCTGCCCAAGCCCCGGTTTTATGGTGATCATGTTTTGAAAACCTTTTAATCTGACCTACACGAGGATACTTGAATAATTATGGCCTTTTTTTCTTGAGAAAAAATATGTTTGACATGCTCCATGCATATTTCCCCCCGCTTTCGCAAATGCAAGGGGACATTAAATCTCATTTGTCTGTCCGTCTGTAAGTCTCTCCATCCGTCACAAAACCTTTAACCTTGCCAAGTACTTTTCATTTAGTGAAGTTATAACTTTCATATTTTACATGTGTATTCCTTAGTATGAGACCTTTCTTTGGGTACCACCAAATCTGATCTTACATGTATGAGCTTGGAGTTTGACCTAATTTTTAAATTACATCAAAATTCTAAAATTTAACTTTGACCATAACTTTTGAACGGTCGATACTAGAAATATTTTAAATAAGTATTCTTTGTGGCAAGGCCTTTCATTGGATACCAAAAACTTTAACCTTGGTCATAAATTTTGAACGATAGGGCTTAAATAAAGTGCCTCGTCCTCTTCCTGGTATTTAACGAAACTTGGAACAAATAATACAAAGATGAACGAAATTCAAAACTGTTCAAATCTTGAACTTTCTTCATATTTGTATTATGTGCCAAGTTTCGTTCAATTTGGCCAGATATTAAGAAAAAGTAAAATATCTAAACAGATGATACACAACAAATACTCTTTTCCCAGAAAAGCTCACCTAAGTATTCGGTCGAGAATAGCTAAAATAATTGGTATGCCATTTGTACCTATTGGCACAGATTCTAATTAAAAAAAAAGAAAGAAAATTTTGGTTCAACGTAAGGAATATTTCCGTTATCAACAATTAGCTTCAAGAAGTCCATGTATTTTGTAGGACATGTAGCCCTCAAGGGTTTGTTTAGATGCAATTTCAGTTATAAAGCTGTTGAAAGATATATCTGTAAAGGGTAGGCGAAACCATTAGAAGAGAAAACCAATGCATGAAATATAAAGATACCGCGATTCATGATCATTTTCCTAATTTAAAAAAAAGAATGGAATATGTTGATAACGAGCACATATAAAGGTCATTGTACCGACTATAAAACTTGCAAATAATGAATTCTAACAAGACTTTTGAAATCTTTGTTTCATCATCTTGATTTAATAGCGTGTTTCGTTTTATAAATTGTTCTTTAGTAGAGCATGTTCTTGAAAACCGCATATACAGGTGATAAAGATATTTTGTTACGTAAGTAAGGGACATTGATGATTGAAAAGTTGAAATCATTACGTTTATCCTAATGATAAGATCAGCTGATAGGCTACCCTAAGCATCATATTTAGGTAAAATTTCAAATATGAAATAGATGTTAAGACAGCATGGGTTCTTTTTAAGCTTATCTTGATATCAAATCGAATCTTGTAAACTGATACTATGTCTTTGATATATCTAACTGTCGAGTTGAAAGCTAATACAACTGGTTTTTTTTTTATTTTAAGGTTTTAAACAATGTATGTTTCATATGAATACTGTGGAATCACGGCGGGTGTGACCGATCAGCAGGAGATGCTCATTCCTCCATGGCACCTGATCCCAACTCCGATGTTTTCTCTGCTCCTATTTCGTATTGTTTTATGGACTTTAATATTGAATACTGTTCCTTAACTCCATATCCTTCAATTTAATTCGTGGGAAACAATGTTCACGGATAAGCAAAATTTTGTTGGTTCATGGGGACGTAATTTCGTGGGTAACACATATATACAGAGGATTCAATAAATAACTACGTATACAAATTAAATGTTCGTGGGGATGTAAAATCGCGGATAAGGGTAACCCACGAAACCAACGAACATTGGTCCACCAAGAACATTGATGATTCCACAGTTAAAAACACGTCCTTTTCTTTGAACAAGTCTTATTCCAGTGTAAAAGGGAAAGTTAGCAGAGAAATATCAGTGTTTGATTTTTCTTTGTTAAACGAATTTGTACATATTGAGTACACCATGGAGCAAACATGCATGATTGTTGCCTTAGAAAGTAAACTATGTTATGGCATCAGAACTTGTTTTAATCAAAATTTCCCGATCAATAACTGCTAAATGGATGCAATCATTAAAAAACATTTACCCAGTACCTACGTTATTTAGGCAAAATGTTCTTATCGTTAGGTCAGAGAAATTCTCCATATCCACCATTTCTATTGTAAGATTTCCAGCTTTTATTTTCTCTTCTTCTGGCCAATATTGAATACATTTCACCTAAAAAAAATGATTACGTATCTCTACTTTTAAGAAAGTCTCCTTTGCTACAATAAACAATTCATTCGAGATATATATTCCTTTCTTTTCTGCATAATAGCATATATTTTTATCTGAATTGAAAAATTTAAGTATAATAAGTTTAAAATTAAAAGATTTTTGATGGTTAGTAGCCCCTTTTAAGATTTTTTTAAACCAAAAAAAAAAAAAAAAAAAGATTATATTTGTCCTCTGCAACAACACATTGAGATTATAATTCAAAATTAATGAAATAACTGATATAAAACTGAAAATAGTCTCCCTGTCTTTTTCCATTTTTATTACAAATTCCTATCTGTAAAAATGAAGGTACTTGGTGTGAGACGTTGTTAAATAAAACATCAAAGTCTGAAAGTCTGGCAGTAATAATAAAATTTATCATCAAGATAGAAAGTGTTTTTAAAATAGAAATAACAGGACACTTCGATTTGACTTTGTAATATGAAATTCACCTTGTCATCCTCGATAAGATTTGTAAGCATGACAATTTTCCCACACCTTTCATTCCAAACCATCATCCAAAAATCATCAATCGTATTCACTAGTGGGCCTTGAAAAAATATAAATATAGAAAAAAATTGCTTTTTATTAAGCTTCATTCACGTATGGGGTGCTCACTTCATCAACATCTCTTCAATTTATAAATGCGTGTATCATTTGCATGTTAAAATTGAATGTTGTTTGTAGTCGTTTTTATATACCTTGTGCTGCAATATAACTCCTCACTGTTCCGTATCCCTTTAAAGATAAAAAAAGATTCTGTTGAACGAATAAATAGTTCAGTTTTCAGAAAGGTTTTCAGTGCATGGTCTTTAAATATACTACGGGCATAAAATTTCGTTGTTTAGAAAATAACCCTATTCAATAAATTAATAAATATATCAAATTTCGTGTGGGATTTAATTTCGTTGATAATTGTCAACTGCAAAAAATGCAATTTTATCCACAACGAAATTTTCTGCTTTTACAATATGACCTCGAATTTTAAACATAACCATTTATAAAGGGTATGCCAAGCCTTTTTTCTCTCAGCAACAGAATGTGTCATTCATTTGTTTTTACCTATTTTCTTATGGCTTCAAAGTTGTGCTTCAGAAACATTTTCCCAGTTATCCATGAAATCAAATGAAGACAATAACCCACCTTTGGATCAATAGAAAGCATATGATTTTTTCAATATAAATTTAAATGTTTTAGATAGTTTTGATATCATATATCTCTTTGCTTGCTGACCTATTGCTGAATACATGTACCATGACATATATGTGCAGGTGGGTCAGATGCAACATCATAATTAGTTTGAAACCATCCCTATCTAGGATTAAATTCTCATTGCTCGGAAAGAATGTGTCAGTGTTAGGAGGTACAAGTGTCTACTAGTACTTCCTCTATAGACCGCCATTAGTTCATGAATAGTGGATACATACTTACGAAACGACAGGAAATGACAGGTGAGACAAAATAAATATTTTGGAGTTAAATGACAGCGGTTTCAAACTAATTTAAAACGTTGAATATCTAAAGTATTGAAAATAAGGTCAGCAAGATTATTTAGGCTTTTGAAAAGGCATGACAGCGGGATTATTGAAAATCGCCAACGATTTGGACGACGTTAAAAGATGGACGTTCTGAGGTGTCGGACACTTAATCACATTACTCTGAGGAATCGGACATCAACGAAGGTAGATATTACCATGATGGCACCGGGTCGCCAATTTCTCAATTTTATCACTACTTTGTATTTCCTCGAGATTTTGGGGTAAAAGGCATATATTACATAATTAAAAAAAATTTAGTTTATGGTTAACTTACCGGTAGTATGTTTCTGTAAACGGACTAAGAACCCGGGGGAACCGGGGATTTTATAATCTTTAAAAAGCGATAGCCACTAAATAAATATACATAAACAAATCGACCTTTTTTCAAGAATTTTTCTTGAATAATAAGATAAAATTTTGCAATTAATTTTAATCACAAGGTAGCTATCATACCCCATGACTGAGAAAAATTCCGCATCCAATGGCTGAAAATTTTATAATTTTGTAAAACGCTATTTATTACAGTGGAAAATTTCCATGAATTCAAATGAACATTTTTAGTAAATATATTTGAACAACTTAGCTCCACGATGGAGCTAGAACCAATTATCATGATTTCATGAAATTTACAACTTTTATGGAGAATTTTACAATTTTAGCTATTGTTTTTGGAATCACGAAAACGTTTACCTTTTAAGATGCCCATACATGTAAATAGAAAGATAGAAAGTTTTTCAATTATTTTTGAAACCAACAGTTAAGCAACCCCACTCTTAATTATAAGATAAACAAAATTGTCTAAAAAAAAACAGACAATGACGTCGAAAACCAACCCAATATGTCATCTAAATGGCGAAAATGACTTCATCAACCACCTCTAATTAGAGTAGGTAAAACCAGATAGATTAAAACAATTTTTGACCAAATTTTCTTTCATTAAAAAAAAAAACGTTTTGTTAAAAAAACACAAGCTTGCCAATCTACCAAATGTATATGTAATATACTCCAGTATCAAATGCATCTTGTAGATAAAAATGTAAGATAGACAAGAGAATTTTCTATCTCAAATGAGAAAGGGAGAACTCACATGAATGTAGGAGGCATTTATGCAATCTGCCCTTCCACTTCCCTCTAGTTTGACCCGAGATTCATCATCTGGAGAAGCAAGTTTCAGCATTTGCCAAATTTTACAGTGGATACATTGCATGATACATACTTTGCTAATAATGCTAAAAGTATATTATTGATATTAATTTTATAAAATAGTACTTTTTCTGTAACAATTATTTAATCTCTGAATTTATTTTCTATTTCATTCAAATAGACAGATATCTAGAATTTAGGCGCCAGCTGGCTCCTGATAAAAAAAAATTGTCACCAATACAAATTGCTGGTAGCCAGACAATGTTTTCTAATGCACAAATTTAAAAACTGCAGTAATTAAGATACTCTCTAGACTTCTAACATGTGTCTCACCTTTAAAAAAAACTTAATAGTTCTAAAATCTAAAGTTCGCAATGTCGATTTAAAATCATCGCCAATTTTAATTTGCAACTTGTAGAAAAGGTTTAGGCGCCAATCAAAACTTTTATTCGACATGTCGACTAAATTAGTCGCTAATTAGAGCCCTGATAGAATATATATGCAAAATATCACTGAAAATGAATCATTCATAGCGATTTGTTTTTGAAACTATTTTCAAGTAGATTTACATCTAAAACATTGGGTAACAATAAGTACGTAAAGAACAAGGTTCAATTTTGACTTATTTGGCCCTGTGAATTTCTGAAAAAACTGAACTGCATAGTTTTACTTAACAATGCATTGAATATCACTTAGATCTTTGGTGACTGCGTATCTATCAAAAATGACGTAATTTTCTGGCTAGTCAATGCATTGTGACGTCACGAAATGCGTCCATTACCTAATATTCTGAAAAAGTCTGCAAAAACGGCTAATTTTTAATGCTATTTTTCGACATTTAATATAGAGCGTAGCCTCTTATCTAAACTATGCAACTACTAAATGATAGAACTGTTTCTGGGGATTAAAAGACATGTTTTAAATTATTTTTTACATCAGAGAGTGCGCTGATATTATTTTTCTTCTCTGAAAGTACTCAATTATACCTGTTTACCTTTAAATTCAAGAACATTGCAATTTATCAAGCTAATTCTCCAAGACCTGGACTTTTAGGAGAAATTTTTTAATAGGAAATGAAAGCACTAATTTTTTATTTTAATTTAATGCTTCAAATGGAAAATCAAGTCTTAACCAATCAATCTGTATATCTACAGGGGTATTTTATGCATAAAGTGAACCTTGGGAAAAAATAAACACATTCAAATATATCGAATATCAACTTGATTTTAAAATATTTGAAATAGATGTACTTCCTAATTTTATACTACTTAATAATTAAAAAAATCGAAATTCAAAACTTGAAAAATCACCAGAAATCATATTTTGATAGATTGAGAAAATAAAACTTAATATTCTTATTTTTTTGTCAGGGATAGGATTGTTCGTGAATCAGTTTCAGTAATATAAGAAATCTATAAAACTGATTCTTTCACTAACACACTCAAAGAGTGAATAAATTTGCCCAGGCATGGTTTAAAGTGTTTGAAGTACAAGTGAGATGAAATGTTACGTAAATATTATTTTCGTACAGGGATATATGTTTTTGTATTTGTTCTTTGGTCTATTTTCTGGTGTAACAGCAACAGTTGCAGGAAATTGAAGACCAGAGTAAAGTTTCTGAAAAAGAGAGATATTTTTTGTCTTTTACACATATAATACTCAGAAAACACAACGAGAGATACAAGAAATATTAGAAATACTTATATGTAAAAGTACAACCCACACACTAACTCGGTTTCTATGAAACTTTGAGAATATTCAATGAAAATTTAGTGTGAAAAATAAATTCAAAATTAAGAGAAAGTGTTAGTCATTTGACTTAGCGATTGATTGCTTTTATTAAAGAAGGATTAAGAATTCATAGAGGGTTGAATCTCTATTAAATCGATTTGATTCAAAACATTAAATCCCATTATTGTTCAAATTGAATTATTAAAAATATTATGACAAATGCCTGTCAGTCATAATGTGAATCCTAGATTGTAAAAACATTATTAAGAATGAAGAAATGATACGCAGACAGTAGAAAGAATTTTTGTAATCTGGGACCTGTTCAACAGAGCAAACATGCGCAACCGCTCGCTAAGATCCCTTATATCTTCACTAGAAATGTTCGCGAGCACTCGCTCTGATGAACAGGCCTCAGAATCAGAATGGGGTTAATTTTACTTTCAGATATATAAGCAAAACTATTTTACAAAATTAGAGACTTTATAAACCCCAAGCAATAATAAGTCATCTGCAGAATCTTGACACTTAAATGCTTTAATAGAGCTTGATTTTCTTTGTATTGTTATTTTAATAATAATATTATATTTTTTCCTTTTGAATCAAGTCAAGAAGATATCACCTAAATGAAGTGATTTATTATTCAAAGTCATCATTTCGTAAGTTTTATGGTCGATACAATGACCTTATCAGTAAATACAATTTATCATAGAGTCAAATGCTGACTGACTTTTTTTTTCAAGCTTCTTGTTAGTCCATTATTTATACACTGAATTTACAAAAGATTTTTCCGTTATTTACCGATCATGACAAGGGGCACACGGCGGGGGTGACCGGTCAGCAGGGAATGTTCACTCCTCCACGGCAACCAATCCCACCTCTGATGTTTTGCTCTGCTCCTAATTTGTATTATCTTAAAGATTTTTTTATCTTGAATTCTGTTCGTTATCTCCACATGTTTCATATATCCTTAACATAATACATAAGTAAAATGGGAACACTTGTTAATATGTGCAAGAAGAAAAAAAGACAACACCGTATCTTTTTTATTAAAAGCAAAATTCTAAATGCTTGAAATATCAACCCAAATAAATTTAGTATTAAAGTTTAAAAATTAAAATTTAAAAACTTAAATTATAAAGAGCTTAACATTCTTTCTTAAATGAGAAGCACATTTTTTGAAAAGAAAATTCTTTTTCAAAGCATGTATGTTTTAACGCGAAAGTAATTTATTTCAAATAAAAAAACTTACTTGAAATTGTTCATCAAAGTATTCTTTATCTCTTCTTTTAATATCAACAAAATCCTTGAAGTCGGAAACTTTTACTGCTGTAGGTGAAGACTTTAGTTTTGATGTGAAATCATAATACGTGTTATGTTGACTTGTTTCAGTTTTATCTTCGCTCATGCCAAAGTTGTAGTACGGCATTTTGGCTGAGACTTTTGCTACTGAATTTAACAAGGGAAAAAAATTACATTTGTAACATTTTACAAAACATTCATTGTTGCCAATTTAGTGGGTCTTTATTTAAAAAAAAATGTATTTTCATTATTTATATCGATCTGTCAAGATAGCCATTTAAAGTAGGGATTAATTGATGACGTGTTGCAATATTTACGTCATTGTATGTTTTCTTGGTGGAACAGCCACTGCTAAAGAAATCTGTACAAGTGCTAAGCTTTTGCTCTTTACTGAATGATAATCGACAACGGTTTTCTTCAGAAATAATAAACAGAAAATATTCAGTGATATAAATATAAGAAATTAAGCCTTCTGCACCCAAAATATTATATCCCATATTTCAAAGATACCTAAAGTAATGGTATCTACGTAGCGTATAGAGATTATAATAACATGTCATTTTTTATGACAAGAAAGCAGGATTTAATTCTCTAGTCACAACACAATGATGTAAAGTTATTTTAATAAAATCATCATAACTCATTGAAAAGTTGGATGTTTATATTTTGTACTCCATACAATCAACTGATATGATATCGCAGTAGAGAGAGTGCCAATCGTTCTGTGTTCGGAAGTTCGTGAATTCAAATATCGGCTGCGAATGACCCAAGTCGATAGAAATGGGTAGCAACTGTTCCTTTGCCATTAGCTCGCCATCGGGAATAAGAGTTACAGTTCTTTCGGATTAGATCACAAATACCGAGGCCCCGTGTCATAGTAGACGTTGGCACGATAAAGATCCCTTACTGCTAGATGGCCACGAGTAAAGGTCAAAATATGAACTCGTCGCTGGTATATGGTGACGTCTCTATATTAGTTAAATATCATACAATACAGCATTTCATACAATTGTACGTCTATTAAAAGATGCATTGATTTTCTTACCCGTTGTTTTCATATTTTCTTGTTTTATAGTCGTCCGTTGTACTTGAGCGTACTGGTGATCTAGATTCTCCATAGATCGACATTCATCAATGTCTCTATAAATGCTTGGTTTCTTTTTATATCTTCTATTAAAATAGAAATAATTTCAATAGTGAACTTTTGCAAAATTTTACCAAACATTTACTTTGACCTTAACTTTTGGACGGTCGGTGCTAGAGTTTTCATTTTTTAAATGCTACTTTTTTATGGATACAAATATTTTTGACCTTGACTTGACTTTCAAATTCACCAATTTCAACCTCAGCCAAAATGTTTGAATGATTGATCTTTGGGCTTTTAATATTATTTAAGTTACTTCTTGCGAAAATGCATTTTTGGTCAACATTTTTGACCCTGTTGTCTTAAGCATTTGAAGAAAAAACTTTCGGAAAACATTTTGGCGGGGGCCACATGTCTTGAAATTTACTTGTTCATGTAAATTTATACTTGTTTTAAACCTACCTTATGCTTACTAGAATAATGACTACAAGTATAAAAACTAGAACTGTTCCCACTGTGGTGCCGATAATTACACTCATTCTTGATTTGATTTCTGCAGTCGACTCTGTTGGAAATGATGAAAAATTTACGTTAGTAATAAAAGCACTATAGCTATAAGTTATACTTTTATATAACCAGTGACATTTTAAAGATTTTAAATCTGTACAACAAGCAATTATGGATAAGCAGATATTTATGCATATTTGATCATCTCTCGTTACACGCGTCCTTATCAAAATCTCTACCTGATTACTGAAGTATAGTCATTTAAAGACACTATTGATAGAGTCGGAATGTAGTTATTTATCAATACTTTGTCTATACTTATAGTCACTTTATTTCTATCTCCCCTTTTCCAGTCATGGTGGGTGATGAAAGATTCTGATTTAATTCTGTACCATGAACTAGTCTATTGCCATTATCTTCTAAGCTAGGTATCACTTGAAATAAGTAGTATGGATTAATTTGTTAAAATATATAGTGGTCGATGGGGCATTTTTGGTTTGATTGAAAGAATGTTTTGACTTCCCTCCTCCATCCAATGTACTAACACGCGTTACATGAGGGATGCAGGAAAAAAATTTGCCAAGGATCATTTACAAAATTTTGGTAAATACGTATGTAATATATTCACAGAGAGTGGCAAACAAAATAGTGAAAAGCCTGCAACTTTAATGCCATATCTAAATAATTCAAGTTCAATTCAGGTTCAATTAAGTTTTCTTAAAAATATTCATCATCCAAGAAAGGATTAAACCCCCCTTCCCCCAAAAAACCAAACAAACAAAAACAAAATCAAACCTTCACAAGAAGGTTCTCCTTCATGGTATTGAAAAGAAAAATCTTGAGCACAAACTGCATATGTAGATCCTCTGAGAATGTAACCTTCTACACAGCTGTAGTGTATGGTTTCGTTGAAGGAGTACTGCGGTTTTCTTGGATTGTAGCTCAGAGCGTTTTTCGTCAACAGTGTCTGATTACACGTCACCTCTTAAAAATGACAGAATAGCTTAGAATTACTACAATTATCAAAAGTAGTTTTCTTAAATCTATGCATTTGGGGCGCGGAATGGTGCCACCCGGGGGTGAAGAATTCGAAGCGGAATTTACAATGTTCGTTGACCTGATTAGCTTTCCTACAGTGATTGAGATGAAAATAATCCTAAATTCACTTACGGCGGAACACAGTGATATCCCAGCTTACTGTAACTCGTTTCCCAGCTCGGGGCTCGTCCTAGAAATACATGAACACTTCTGCAATATCTGGCAAGAGCATGCGGGAACGCAAATTTGACCGGTTCTTTGTGAAAGTTGGTGCCTTATATATCACTCAGCTTCATTTGATTTAAGTGAGGGACTTCTAGATATGATTTTGCTCAAGACACTCTAATGTTTCGGAGAATTCCATCTCAAATAAAGGGGACAGACTTCAATATAAGTGTGTGGCACTCGGGGGTGAAGAATTTAGTGGAGGCTGGGGGAAGGAATAAATCTCTAACTAATGGAAAGGAATCGTTTCTATAAAAATTATATTGATTATACAAGCATTGAATTGCTACAATAAATTTATTAACTCTCTCATAATTTCAATGACGTTTTCCCTAAATAAGTGCGCTTTAGCTCATATTTAAACTGTTTACTAGACATCTATTTCTATATTTCGATATAATTTACTTTTAGTTGTAACACGTCATTTGATTGGATAAATGATTTAATTTATATTGTATCACATAACTTGGCTACGTCACAATGAGCTACGACAAAACGTTTATACTCCACTTGACGTTAATTTTAAAATTTGCTCAGTTTGAAGCCATTTTTGGAGGAAAAAATTGTCTCTTTGTCTACACTGAAATTATAAGGAATGGAGCTTAATGTAACCCATGTTATACGATACATGTATATACATAAATTTGTCCAAGTTACGTTTTATCGTATATTATAGGTTAAGATAAGATTCATTCCTTAAATAAACTTGAGGTATACATATCTTTCTTTTACAGTAAATAGACACTTGAGCAATAGTTAAGAGTACATATTACATATACAGGTATACTACTTGTTAGTCCGTTATTTATACACTGAATTGACGAGGGATTATCCAGGTCATGACAAGGGGCATACGGCGGGTGTGACCGGTCGGCAGGGGATGCTCACTCCTCCATGGTACCTGATCTCACCTCTGATGTTTAACAGGTCCGTGTTTGCTCTGCTCCTGTTTTGTATTATTTTATGAACTTTTGATCTTGAATACTGTTCATTATCTCCATATGTTGCATGTATATAGAATTGATTTAAGGAATAACTGTCTTATTTTTCGATTTATGATGTGATCAATCGATTGGGTTGCGTGATAATTTATAAATTATAAATTATCACGCAAACCAATTGATTGATCATCGTCATGAAATTGAAAAATCTGACAGTTATTCCTTATATTTACATGCTTTGATTCCACCAATCCACGTGCTCCAAGCCCTGCTTTCGACTAGCTGTTTCTCCCGCCCTGCACGTGGTTTTTTTGGAACCGCGCCAATACATTAATGGGGAAATAAAGTACATTTACAATTTGTATACTTTATCTCGGACAAAGACATTGCAAATGTAAATATTTAGAATTATATATACGCGTGTTCATGCAGTGAAGTTAATTAAATATACGGACTATTGAAAGGAGAGGAGCTAACAAGGCGTTCAGAATACCCATAGCTTCAGATATATAAAAATCATATTCAATTTGTGAAAAGAATTTAGAGTATTTTTTTCATTATTGAAATTAAGGTAAACAAAACCTTTCTGAGAAAAATTTTATCGAAAAAAAAAATTATTCCAGACCTGTTATTGTAAATGGTATTCGTGGGGTTCGAACCCCTAGCAATAAAAACATTGAGTATCACCACAGGCACTTGAGGGCTGGACCCCCCCCCCCCCCTTTCCATTTTTTCTTTTTAAATTTGGAATTGACACACTTTTCGAAGTTTTTTCATATATTACATATATATACTACGTATTACTTGATACATGTATTGATAATGTAACCCTTTTGTTTCTATAAGCCTTTTTAAATACTAGTAAATCGTTTTAGACTGATACAGTTGAAAACTAAATGGACTTAAGTATTTATCCGAAAAAAAAAATCGAATGTTGTGTCATGGAAATGTATTCTAAAGGATACTGGGTCTTTGCTCCATGCTTTTGTTACCCAAAAATGTATATTTTACGCAAACTTCCTGTTACAAAATGGAAAAAAGGCCCACTGCAATCGAAAAATTGTGTTAAAGTATGAGAAAATGAACCCTTTTGGCCTCTTAAGTCTACAAGCATGTATGCTATTTTATTGGCAAATAATTTCAATCTTTGTAAGATTTTTGCAAATTGTGGAGATTCTTCAATAGAAATTAATGATAGATGAAAGGAACTTGCGTTATAATTGAATTTTATTACTTCACCTTCATATTTGTCGCACCATAGGATTAGCTTGCCATATTCGACTATTTTCCGTAGTAGTACAAATGACAATGCTCAGCTAACATAGATCTGTTGTTTAAGAAATTGGATAAATATTGTAAAGTGTAATTAGAATTAAGTTTCTCTGTTTTTTATTAAATGTATTTTTCATGTGGAAGTTGAAAGTACGCGCGGTTTCCCTGTGAAATCTGTGGAAAGACTTACACAACAAAATCAAAGTTAAACAAACATAAAATGAGTCATTATAATCATCTTATTGATCATTTTGTAAAAATCTTTGCTACAACAGGCACGTAGCAACAGGATGACCAGAGGGGGTGGGTGGGCTCCCCCCTTTTTTCACATCACCTTTACTATTGAAAATGTCCATTGAAAGGTTGGTTGAACCCCCCCACTTCTTACCACAGTATAGTGATATCAAGGAAATGTAGTATTGTATCACTATGCCTAGGAAAAAAAATTGGCCACTACCCCCCCCCCCCCCCCCCCGAAATAGGATTTTCGAGTTTGTTCAACACCCCCCCCCCTTCTTTTTTGCTTGTCAACTTTTACAGGTAAGTAAAATTTTTTCTCCCCCCCCCCTTTCAAAAACGATGCTACGTGCCTGTACAAAGCACTGTCGAATCATTTAAAAAAGACAGTTCCAATTTAAATTTATATACCAGGATCTAAACAATTAAAACAGAGCAGATCTTAAGAATTACGATTGATATACAATGACTAAAAATTATTCCTTCCCCCAGTCTCCACTAAATTCTTCACCCCCGAGTGCCACACACTTATATTGAAGTCTGTCCCCTTTATTTGAGATGGAATTCTCCGAAACATTAGAGTGTCTTGAGCAAAATCATATCTAGAAGTCCCTCACTTAAATCAAATGAAGCTGAGTGATATATAAGGCACCAACTTTCACAAAGAACCGGTCAAATTTGCGTTCCCGCATGCTCTTGCCAGATATTGCAGAAGTGTTCATGTATTTCTAGGACGAGTCCCGAGCTGGGAAACGAGTTACAGTAAGCTGGGATATCACTGTGTTCCGCCGTAAGTGAATTTAGGATTATTTTCATCTCAATCACTGTAGGAAAGCTAATCAGGTCAACGAACATTGCAAATTCCGCTTCGAATTCTTCACCCCCGGGTGGCACCATTCCGCGCCCCCATATGTGGGGTTATGCACGGTGATTTTTAAATGTAAACGGTAAAGATAACGAACAGCTATTGATATTTTTCGTGCCAACACCAGTTGCAACACCGGACTTCAACTTATACGGTCTTATAAAAAAACGGGTATCCACGTGAAATTCATGTTAAAAATAAAAAGTGTATTCCAAAATATCGATACAGATAATATTTTTTCAGTTATTTATTGAACAGATAAAAAGGCTTAAAAACAAACTTTCACAAGAAGATTCTCCTTCATGGTACTGAAAAGAAGAACTCTGAGCACAGACAGCGTATGTAGATCCTCTGAGAATGTAACCTTCTGCACAGCTGTAGTGTATGGTTTCGTTGAAGGAGTACTGTAGTTTTCTTGGATTGTAGCTCAGGGCGTTTTTCATCAACGGTGTCTGATTACACGTCACCTCTTAAAAATGGTTAAAAAAGAGATTAACATGCAAACTAAATCAACGGGGTATTTTCCATTCTAAAAATGCACAATCAGATTATGTTTATTCACCTTGTTATAAATGTATGTTTAATCAATAAATGATTAGAATATTAATGAAAGTGCTTTTTCGTTTTCGATCAGGCACTGATATCCTTCACGGAATATGAAATTTAACAAAATAAAAGAATGTACATAGATATTTTAAAACTTTCATATCAATAACCGGTAAGATGTGGATGAAATAAATAGAGGCAAAATATTTTGTCTCTCGAAGAAATAATGAAATGATGAAATAATACATCTGACAAAAGAAGAAAAACCGATTAAGATTGAAAATTGAAGTTTTAAGAAATCTACAAACCATTTTGACAGTAATCTCCTCTCCATCCGGGAATGCATTTCGGGCACGTAAAGTTTTCATTGAGACAAAGTTCACTTTGCTGGCATTTTTGTGGACAAAATCCTTTGCAGTCATCATCGCCATTTTCCAAAGGCCTGCATGCTTTTTTTTTTTGTGTAAATATTAAAGACTTTGTATTCGTTATTAACAAAGCTATTTTGTATTCACATGAAACAGATATAATCCAAAAAGCTTAAATATGAGAAAAAGAAAACACTTGCTGTGGTCTTCACCTAGATATTATGATATATTGACGTTGTATTATCATTTAACAATAGATACTTCAATTCAAATGTCGACTCTATGCAACTCAGTGAACTCGAAATACACGTATTTGATACCACAGGATCTGACACATCTGTTTCATATTTGGATATTTTACTAGGTAACCTCCCAACAAAACTTAATGATAAAGTGATGACTTACTTCCCAGTATGCTATCTACTTTATTAACAAACATGTTGATGAAACAAGAATATCAATATTCTCATTTTTTCACTCATTCTATGATCGATACAATGACTGTTTTACTCCTTCATGACATCTGGTCCATAACTTGATTTAAGAGGTCTGTATTTATTCTACACCAGATTTTAATGAATTGTAAAACTAGACTTAAGGTAGGACACAATAGATAGGCCTATTTTTTCCTCAAATTCAATTTTTCTGAAACTTCAATATTTTGTTCTAGGATACAAAATCTATCTTTATATATGATAGGAAAGAAATTCAACCACATATTTTTTGCCCACATAGTCTGAAATACGGCCTATCAGACCCCTGTAAGAAGATTGTGAAATCAGACATTCGACTTGATAATGGGCCTTATTTTAGAATTATCAATTGATCTATTGCAAATTTGTGTAATACTTTTCATGAAGATAGCCTTTTTTGTTACTTTAAATCAGTATCAATTTGATACTGGAAAATTTGAGTAAAATATTAAGTAGAAATAGAACATACATAGAGACAGAATTGAAAATTCACATGTAAATATCCGACAGTTTAAGTTTTCTAATGAGAAAATGTATCATTCAATTTTTATAAAAAATCAGCAGAATGAGACTTAAATGGGTCCTAGAATAAAATGTGTAAAAATAAAGAAAATTGAACAAGTGGTTTCAGATATTTTGGCGATTAAAAAAAAATTCACTGGTAAAAAAAAACTAAAAGATTCAATAGATGACGTCACAATATTTGACTTTTGACCTCTTGATATGACCTTGACCTTTTTAGTACATACAGAACAAAAACTCCTTATATAAGTTTCCAAATATCAGCCCTCTACTATTTATGGAACAAAAGTTACACTGCATTTTATAACAGACTGTAACATGCTAGTTTATTGCACTTAGATAGCATAAACACATTTCAATATGTAAGCCCCCAAGTTACCTATGTATAGAATTCTCTGATTTTTTCACAAAATATGATGCAAACATGTCAAAACTTATTATTTTTCTTACAGGGAGCATTCATTCTTGTCAATATGTAAGTAATATTATTCTTTTTTCTTTTTAAGAAATTGGTTAAAATAGAATCCACGGGTGTTTAGTCCTACCTTAAATTGAGCTTGACGACTGTTCATCATCTTCACATTTCATTCAGGACTGGATCAGTGAAGCAAAGTATTTATAAATTAAGAATATGTATGTGTGACATGTTGGTAGGGGAAACTCACTCCTCGATGGCACTTAATCCCACCTCTGATATATTGGAGGTCCCTGTTTCCTCCTCTACTATTTTGTAATGTTTAATGAACTTTTGAGCTCGAAAACCCCTTGTTATCTCCACATATTTCACAATAAAGATCATGGTTTAATTGCAGGAAGCATATTCTCTAATTAATCTATTTAAAGCATCTCAAAACATGGATGCTGTATATATGTATACATGTTACTAATCTTAAATGCTACATGCAAACGACAAATAACACTTTACAGAAATTGATTGTAAAAGAAGTTAGAGAAAACTTATAGTTGTGTACAAGGATGTTGAAAAGATGCGTTCTTGTCCGACTGAGACTGTTTACAACACTCAGTATTGCTATATTGAAATTGGTATACATGTAGGACTATGTGTATGTTGGGTGTTTCTTTGTGCTATCCCCCTCCCCCCCTCTGTGTGTGTGTGTGTGTGTGTGTGTGTTGTTTGTGACAGTGTGTTTTTGCGCATCATGCCCTGGCAAGTTTCTTGACAAAACAGCGCACAATATATGATAAATGTTCAATAATTTTTTCTCTCTATCTTTTATTGTACCGAAATATAGAAAACGTGGCGTTCAAAAGACTGAAAAAGAATTTTGCACAATATTAAATGACTGAAATATTAATACACTGTATTGTATAAAACATACCTAATATAAAAACTTCACACAGTGTTAATATCTTTCTATTCCTTCCATCATTTAAATTTTTACCGTCGATGATAATCTCACTTAGTAGCTCTGGTTTCCAATACCGTCCATCAATCCAGATAACATCCCTTTTGTCGCTGGATGTGTCATTGTAAATATTTTTAATCGCTTCTCCTTGTTTTCCATACACAATAAAATTATTTATACGTGTTTCTATAATTGAAATGGAACACAACATTTTCAATCAGAATTATCCAAAAGGAAAAAAAGTAAAAAGAATAAGGAGTTAAGCATATCTAGATATGATAATCTCAATCTAATTAAAATTAGATCTTTGATCCGCTCCAGTTTGATCGCTACACAAAGATCTAACGAAACCCCATTTGTAGGTCAAATCCAGTGACCTTTTCAATCCACCAATCAGCGCATTGGCTTTAGAATCTTCGGTTCAGATTCTCGTTATCGGAATAGGCGTGAAATTATAGATATAACCAAAGGTGTTCCGCATGGAGTAAAAATGGCCGCGGCCATTCCGCATGTGGCGAGGACTCCACAGAAAATTTACAGCACAACGAATGTATGTTGTCTCTGCGGATTTTCTTTTGTGGTAAAAGAAGTAGATAACGAAGGCAACATAAAAATAAAAAAATTAGTGAAACTTAAACTTAAGGATGTACAACACACCTACCCCCAAAAAATTCCTGTCGTTTAATTTTCGTTATTTTTGTATATTTAGTACATGACTATATCTACTGCATGTATGCATATTTTGGACAAAATCGTTCGAGTGGTTTTTGGACAGGAACTTCCGAAAGTTACCCCCCTTTAGTTGTTTACAAGGAGAGAAATTTTTTAATCAATGAACTACTTAAACCTTGATTTTCAAAAAAACCAGGTTAGATATAAATGTCAAATTTCATTGGCTTATTCTTTTAACCATTCAACACAAAAACATAGTCATCTTTTTGATATACATATCATCAAAACAATTTTTAAAGACCTTAAACTGAAAAACTATGAATTTTCTAAGCCTTGAAAATTGCGTATTTTTCAAATTCAAATTTTTTTTGTGAAAAAACCTGTCGTTTAATTTTTGTAAAAAACTTTCTTTAGGTAGCTGGTAGTAAAAATAATCTTAATAATTTTTTGTATAATTTTTGTACGACCAGTTTTGATTTAATAGCGGAAAATTACCCCCTCCCCCTTTCTCAATAAAACACGTTCCCGCACGTCTTTCAGACGGGAGTCGATCACTTTGTTATATCAATCTACAAATACACATTTAAAAAATTAAATTGGAATATTGCTTTTGCTTCAAAAATATATTAACTTACAAATTTAAAAGTTCTCATATGTAAAGCGTATTTAAATGTAGATTTTTAGGCAATTTTTGAATACCCCTATCACCCCCACCCCTTCCTTTTTTGCGTCGCAGACCATTTAGCGTTTGACGAAACGTCGTTTACAGTGCAAATATACTGGTACTATTTCGTCAAGAATCCCGGAGGTATGCATTAGTTTTTAAATTCATGAATGCAGAATAAATATTGACTACTCTTTTTATATGTATCAGGAAAAAATTACTGAAAGATTTTAGTGTCTAGTCCATATACGTATGCGTTATGCATTCCTAGTATCTCATGAAACCTGGATACGAATTCAAGTTTTGTTGAACTTGAATATGTTGATTTTTAATTTTATTTCTTTAATTTTATTCATTAAAAAAATGGTGTATGTTCAACTCTCCTGTCCTGTGATATAAATGGAATAATTGTAGTTTCTTTCATGTCATCTTTTCAAACGAGACAGTATGTGGCCGTGGGGATACATCGACATTTGCATTAGATGTACATACACCCCTCATGATATTGTACGCATTTCTTTCAATGTCGTCGCTTCTAAAGTTAAAATGAAAATTCCGTATTCGTCCACATGAACATCAAAATATCAATAATTAAACTCTTCATCTATTTCAATTTATATCAAATCGCACATTGATATTTTCTAAAATCTTATAGGCTACGTTTTGTTTTGATTCGAGGAAATGCGAACCGACATTGTTGATAGAAAGTCAAAGTTACGATTTGCTGCAATAGGATATTCATAATTTCAGTAACAAGTAAACAATTCTTTTCAATTCTATACTTACATTGTGCATTTGAGGTCTATAGTATTCAATTCTCGGATTTATCAGGTCTTTGGATTCTGTGGAAAACCGTGAATAAAGGGAGGAAAATAAACATCTCCTACATTTTCAGAGTTGTTCCTCTTTGATCAGTAAGGGTCTGAGAACAACATCGATTTTATATTGTAACAAGTTTTTTGTTTATTTATTGTTGTTTTATTTAATTAAAGAAGAAAAACAATATCCATATCGTGTATGCACAAATTGTAATGAAGACCATTAATCGGAATGTTATATAGCCAATTGTAATAATGAGAATTTCGGCAAAATAAAATTTTAAGAATAAAAAAAAATGCTGCGCTTTGATCAAAAATACAATTTTTTGTATATGAAATGAAATGAAATAAACATTAAGGGATGGTATTTTAAGTCTTGCTTTTTACGGAGTTTAATCGGGTTAATTAACAAAATACTAATTAATTGAGTATGGTACGCACAATCACAGCCAAGCCCCATATCCCAATTTTCTTTCATGATTGATATACATCGGGATCGTTTTACTCGTCGTTTTGACGCTTTATTTCTGACGTTAAATTTGACGTTACGTCAAACGTTCAATTGAAATCGCAAGAGTTATCTCCCCCAGTGTGTTGTACGTCTTTAAGTTAACCGAAGAAAAGCAGACAGCTATTCGGGATGTCATACAGACTGATCTTCCCCCAAACGCTGAAGGTGTTTGTGTAAGGTGCTTTGGGAAGGTTGAGAAAGTGCTGAAGTACCAAAAAGAAATAAAAGACATACTGAAAACATTCGAAAAGAACATGAAAAGAAACAGGGCCAAAACGCCAGGATCCTCCACCCGTAAAAAAAGAGGTCGGGCTTCTCCCAAGACACACGAACAAGTAGGTCAAATTTAATGAACTAGGCTAATTCACTTGTGTTCTTTAACACAGAAATTTAAAGCAGAGTTAAATTTTCACATAGTAGAATATAACAGCTGCAGAATACATAGTAATTTCACAGCAGTCTTAGTGATTGTCCAACAGACACGTGGATTTTGTAGCCTATAACCCTAAAAGATTTTTACCTAATTTTTTAGTTTTAAGTAATACATATTCCCAATCTAATTAAAATTAGATCTTTGATCCGCTCCAGTTTGATCGCCGGAGTGGGTCAAAGATCTTATTTTAATTAGACTGACATATTCCATTGTTTAATTATTTTCTTTTGTAATTAGGTGACCATTCACAGACCAGCTGTTGAGCATGCCACTGCTACATGTGTTTCTGAGACTCGCTACAGGCCTATAATGCCGCAGCCACCACAAACTGAGGGTATGTTGCAATTACTAAAATAGTTATGAATTAATGCCTATGTTTTGGACAAATAAACATGATAAAAAATGTTAATCTTAATGATCTGGACAGTTTACTTCAAACTGTTTGACATAAATTAATCTTATGCCCTGTTTACACAGAGAGTTTAATTCCAATCAAAGGTAAAGTTACGGCGAATAAGCTTCGTTTAGCGTTCATATGGAGAATTTAATGCAAATTAGTTTAATTTGAATTAGTTTACTACTTATTAAATTACTTTGCATTAGCTATTGTGTGAACGCAATTCAATTCGCATCAGTTTGATTCGCATTAGTTTACTTCGCATTAATTTACTGCGAATTAAACTCTTCATGTGAACAGGGCAATAGTTTCTCATTATCAATGGATAATCAGAGTCAAACAAATTTTAAAGAAGTCAACATCTAAGCATCACAATGCATCATTATTATTATCATATTAAAAGTGTAATATTCTGCATTTTGCAGGATCATTACAAGGCTGCAAAAGTTTTCCAGATATTACGGGCCATGATACTTTAGAGGTAATGCCATTATTGTGTAAATGCTTTATTTGTTACATTGGTGAAACATTATCAAAATAATAAAATTAATATTATGATTAATTTTTGAAGTCATATACTAATCACACTATAAATTCCTTTTCATCCAATTAGATTGCAGTAGATGTTCTACGGACATCAGCTGAGCCTGCCAAGGAGGATTTTGGTACGTATCACATTTTTTTAATTTTATTTAAAACCAAATAAATGATCATGATGTTTCTCAACTCTGTAAATATCGTAATAATTTCAGAGGATTAGAGTAATATATATATGTTGGCCGTTGTCAGTCATAGGTCCAAAACTCGAAGCTACAAAGAAAGTCAGAAGATCTCTGGGCTTCAGCAAAATAATTGAGAAAGACATAGATAATTCTGCTTACACAGGAGAAGTGAAGGTGTCAAAATTGTTGGATTTGTTTGTTTTGTTTAACAGTTCAATTTACCACAGATTTTTCTGTTTTGTTTATTTGATTAGAGCAAACAATTCTTCCAAAACTCAGAATTATTTGTGTAAGGGGGGGGGGGGGGGGGAATCACTTGAATTTGTGAAGTGAATTCAAAATTTGCTAAAGAAGTGCAAGTAAGTTGAAAATTTTAATATTGTTTTGGAATGCAAATAAAACTGTGCTTCTCTGGGATAGTATGGTTCAAATAATTTGGAATGGAAATTCTAAATTTTAATTGTATGTCTCTTATTAATGTGTAAATTCATTCCTGGTTGCTCTTATATATACAGGGTCATGTTTATTTGAATCTTTTCATAGAGAGGCATGGCATCAATTTTATTGTTTTAATTTTTTATGATTTAAGTTTGATTTGTCAACAAAAAGGCCTGTTTTACTTTATTTATAAACAATTATTAACATGAATAATAATAATAAGCACATTAATTTAATTTTGTATTCCTTCTTAATTCTGAGAGGTGGGGTATCAGAATATTTATGTCAATTGATTTCAGAATATCTTTTCAAATATACCTCTTCCTTGATCTGGCATTTAATAAGTAGTAAGATATTTTGTTCATAGTATACTAATGATAGGCCTTTTTGAAAATTGTTTTGATTTCCATGTTTAGTTCTATCTTGCAACTTTTATTTCTTGGAATTACAGGGTCGATGACATACTTTTTGATATCATGTTGAAATTTTAATTTTCCTTGGCCTCAGAGAAAGGTATTTATACACAATATATCAGATAAATTAAAATATAAATTCACTTGAAACTCGGTAAATAAAATACTATTACTGTCAGTTTTTATATCAAATTGAATACATAAGAACAAAGTTTAAATAAGTTAAGCTTGACCTAGACCTTTTACAAAAAGGGGACTAAATCTGGTATAAGGCCAGAGGCCGAAGGCTCAAGTGAGCTTTTCTGATCAAAATTTGTCCATTGTCTGTCGTTGTCATTGTCATCATCGTCGTCGTTGTAAACTTTCCACATTTTCATCTTCTTCTCAAGAACCACTGTGCCAGGAAAGATGAAAATCATGTTGAATCATCCTCAGCTGGTGTAGATTCAAGTCTGTTCAAATCATGACCCCCAAGGCTAGAGTGGGGCCAAAATGGCCAACCAAAATTTTACATAGGAATATATAGGGAAACCTTTTAAAATCTTCTTTTCAAGTACTTCAAAGACATCATTAGTGATATTTATATGGAATCATCCTCAGGTATGTTTGTTCAAATCATGACCCCCTGGGGGGTTAAAATTCAAACCTTGGTAAACTTTCAGTTCTGATCTGATATGTGCTTTTTCCTAGCCAATGTGCTCAGGTGAGGGCTGTGGCCCCTAGGCCTCTTGTTTTTTATTGTTGTCATTCAAAATAACCAGAACTAAGGGAAAGGTTTGATCAAATTATGAAATGTGCTTCTTTCTTTCAGTTGACAGTGTACTATCCAAGCCAGACAAAGAATACCTATGTCCTACAAGAACACCATAAAAGAATATGTAAGGCAATTCTACAAGGAGTTAATGTGGACAAAGTCATTGTTGATGAATTGGTTGCTGAAAACCCCTCACCAGTCATTGAGGCTGTTGCAGATATCCTAAAGCAAGAAAGTCAGAGTATTTGTAAACAAGGTTCAGGAACTTTATTGAGAAAGAAAAATCTTGATGACTTTCTTTCCTTTAGCTGGGAATCTCTGAGCAAAGAACTGAGTGTTAGTTGCCCAAATTTGATGACCTTAATGTCTTCAGTTGTGTCTGATGTGCCATTACAAATAGACAGCAAACCATTCCAGCACATGCTTGTGTCAGTTGCTGTAGGGCTTCATGCTCGAAACCAAGAGATGTCAGTCATTCAGTACATCATTGGCTTTATACTTACACATGGAGGCTGCACACTAACGGTATTATTTTAAATTTCAGAATAGCTTAAACCATTGGTTAAGAAATTTTTTGTTGAATTAAAAAAGGGGGGGGGGGGAGGTACATCACTACATGAGATTGTGGTTGAATATACTGTTCTTGTATCTATCTGTTAAAATACTGAGTATGAATAATTTGACCAGAATACGAAAAATCCTTGTCTTTTTTATAATTATAACCTTAAGTTATTAATGGAAAAAACTTTAATTGCTCATATTTTTAAAACATATTGTTAAAATTGATATCTTCAGGGCTACTCAAATGTAAATTTTAAATATTTTCTTTACAATCTATTTAGCCCAAAGTAGGTTAAAAGTTACAATAATGAGGAAGTACGGGTAAACATGATAAGTCAATAGAGCAGTTGATGCATATTTCTTGTTTTAATGGTTTCTTATAATTCACAGGACATAGAAAGACTTTCAAACATAGGCTTATCAGTCCATCCAAGAACTGTGCATAATCGATTGACAACCTGGCATGACAGTCTGGATAAAGACATTCTGAGTATACGTGATTCTTGGGCAAATGGAGGATATCAAAGATTTCAGCTTATTGGTGATAACTGGGACAAGAACATTCTCCCATCTTTTCGAACGTCCCAACAGAAAACTCTTTCCCTTCACCTCTTCAATGTTATCGCGGTTGTAGACCGAGTACCAACTCATCACTTGCAGAGCACACCAGTTCCATTAACTGAAGAACTAGATTACTCGATGTATATTCCTTCAGTCGAAGAACAGGACAAACTTCTTCAAGAATTGACCTTTATATTTGCAACCTCTGTGTTGTCAAATATGCCTCAACTGGAAGAGCATTTCCGGCATGTTTATCCAGTGCATCTTGAGCATAAATACAGCTCTTACTGTGGAATGAAAACTACCCAGGTATATCATTTAATCATGTCTTTTAAGATAACTAAAATGAACAATTACATCTAAGACATAAGAAATTATAGAGGATTTCTTTCATTTTATTGACAACACCATCATACATTGGCATATATAGTCATGAATGCAACAATTAACATACATAAAATAAAATATGAAAGAAAGCATATCAGGCTTACAGGTGATTGTTATGAGATCTGTCCATCCTACCTTTTTATTTAGTTTCCTCTTGGACTGTATAAATGCAATGAAAACAAAACAGCAGAGCTGATACAGCTGCTAAAAGATCTATCAGAGAAATATGTGCCTCAGCGTGATGAAGAAATAGTGGAGGAGGTTTTTTTTGGAGGTATGTTTATTTAGATTTGTGTATATAATGCAAGGAAATTGTAAGCTGAAATAGAATCATTTTACTGCATAGTATCTTGGAAAAGTTTTGGCTGTGGCAAGAATAAAAGAATTTAAATTAAGAGTAGTAGCTTTCTTCACGTCTTTTTAAGCACTGGATAAACATTCATCAAAGTATTTTAATTTAGGAGATAGATTGACAGATGAGCGTGTTCAGTGTGCCCAAGCAGCAATGAGCAATGCAGAAACACCTAAGAAAAGGCTCGAGGGATTCATATCAAAAACGGAAGATTTCCATCGATTAATGAACTTCTTGGAAGTACGTTTTCACATTTTTCTTGATAATGTTTTTTTATACTAATATAATATTTGTTTATCTAAGGATAGTTTTAGAAACAAATGAAAAATAATTTTAATATATGTTTATAAGAGGTCAAGTAATAATTTATCACTTTCTCATATGACTTTGCATCTCTAGTAAACAAATTTGTGAATATTTTTCAGGCAATATACAAATTGACATTCTCAACTGAAAGTGCACAAGACAGAGGGACGGTTTACTACTACCGCAATTTACTTAATGCAAGAGACGTGAAAGGGAAAGTAAAAAATGCATATCGTCCGCACAAGATGTTGTACTACACCATTCTGGATGCAATTTGTCTTTTAATGTTTCTTGAAGAATTGAATATTGATGTGAATTCAGATGTACCCTTGCCTAGCCACTTCAACAACTTGACAAATGATGAAAAAATACAGTGGTTGAATGAAATTTGCAGTAAGATACTGAAGAAATATTTCTTTGATGGCTCATCAGATGTTTGTGAACAGTTGCGTGAAATTACAGGGAATCCAGATCATCCCGAGAACTATTGGGTACAAAATTTTGAAGATGGTCGAATCCGATGTCACTTTTGTCCAAAAACATATGCTTATGTAGGCTCGTTAAAAGCTCACGAGAGTAAAGTGCACAATGTCACCCTAGCAAAACAGTCCAAAGTGTCCAGAAAGAAAGATACCAAAGCAGATCAGCTTCAGGACTATGTTGTTATGCTCTTCAAGCTTGTGATGCTGCATAAGAACCTTGACAGTGCTGTGGACATGGGAGATGGTGAAAGATCTGTAAGATCAACTAAGTATGAACTGCCAATATACAACAAGACCAATAAGACAAAATACAGCATTGGATCGATTCATCTGACAGCGCTGACATCTGGCTTACTTCCTGCAAGCCAAGAAGAAAGATTGAAAGCAAACAGATTCATCAATCTACAAGGTGGTCCAAATAACAACATAGCTCTGGATGAATTTGTCGAGATGCAAAATAGAGACAGCAAAGTAATTTGCTCAGGGCACCAAACAGAGGACAGTATTGTCCAGCATTCGAAAGAGTATCCACTTCTTATTAACATTGCAAAACACTATGACATTGTTAGTAGCATTAAGGGTAAGAAGGGATTCCATCATCTTCCTTCCTACAAACAGGACGTCAGAAAAATTCTTCAGGATCTCCAGGAGCTAAACATTTTAGAACATACCCCTAAGCGCATCTTGAAGTGTAAAGGCCTGACCACTGAGAGAAATCCATTCAACAATGCCTATCAAGGGTTGTCCACCATGATTCATCGCCATCGACCATCATTTCCTTTTCGCCGTCTGCGTGATCCCCACATTTAAACTTATTTAACTTACATTCCTAATGCACGAGTTGGCATGAATTTTTATGAACATTGTATGAAACAATGTGCAAATAGTATCAAATGAGAATCAAATGTTAAATTTAGGTGTTTTTCCTTGTCAGAGTAAAGAACCTTTATGTAATTGTATTGGACATAATTTAATAGATACAAAATGACTATAAACAGTGATTGTTTTTTGCATATATCTTGTCCATTCAATTTCCAACACTGATTTTTGCTCATGTTAAAAATTCACAAGGTAAAATATTTAGGTTTAAAAACCCTTCAGAATTTTTTATATTCTCTCAAAGCTAAATAAAACATTTTTCAATATGTTTATCCTTGTCACATATTGCTATCAAATACTTGTATATATCATATCTCATTGTTTATGTACTGCTCAATTACTGCAACATTTTGTAAATAAAATGTTAATTCTTTATTATCTAATCTGTGAAGAATCAAATCCAAAAGTAAAGTGCCACAAACTTTGATCAATATGTGTTGGATTTGGGTAATAAATTTTAAAATGAAATTGCTTAGGCCAGCTTTAAAGAATTTAAAGTTTGGTTGCCTTTTCCCAATTGACTTGCTCAAAACATTGTTTAGCCTCCAGGAAACATTTTTAATGCATTATGGAAAAAAGATAATGAAAATTTAGCTTTGATGTAACAATTTAAGGGGGAGGGGATTGTCCACATACCTACCGGGGTACTTGCACTGACCCATTTTTTTTTTTATCCCCAGTCATGACAGGACAAACAACCATGAAACAACCAAGCTTCTTCCATAACTCCCATGCTCATTTTCAATAGGAATATGATAGATGCTAAGAAGTTTTAAAATACCCTGTTAGAAAAAGTAAAACACTAAATTTGATTTTTACATTTTTTAATGTTTCAATTTTGATTTGAATTTCCATTACTCAACATCAGTTGCATCACTATCAACACTATCTGAGTCTTCCATGACACAAAGTCTTAGAAAATACTGCTGAAGTGGCAGCTGTTTACAGTTTTGACAAGAACACTCCAGTTCACAAATATCACAACAACTGTGAATCCCTGTTTTTAAAGAATCTAATTGGGATGTTGAAAGGAAATCTTTCATGATAGAAATTCGTCGACATGTCTGTGTTTTGTATATATGCTTTACACTGATATCTGCATGTTGCAGGTGATATTTATTGTACAACAACAATGCAATAGACTCCTTGCCATCTCGGCCAATTCTTCCCACTTCCTGTATCAAGTCTGTGGTTGTAGACGGTATACCATATAAAATTACTGAATGACAGTTCACAATATCTATGCCCATTCCAAAGGGCAGAAGTTGCTATCACAAGTTTTATTTGACTGTCACCATCCTGAAGATTTTTAATAATGTCACTTTTCTTTTCATCTGATGTCTCGGAATGGAACATATCTACTTTATCGATTAATGTTGGGTTTTCATTACATAAATAATTGTACAACTCAGACACCTCCTTAACACTGGTAGCATAAATAATTGTGCGTGGAAATGCCTCCAATTCCAAAGAATCAAGTAAAAACTGCATGGACATTTCTATGGAGCTGTCAATTTTTTTAACATAGTATTTAATATTTGATTTATCTGGTGATCTTATAATTAATGTTGTACATTCTTTTTGTAACCCAAGTTCCTTCATAACTGTTCTACGAATTGTCTTGTTACATGTTGCACTGACAGCCAGTAAATTTGCAGACGGAAACATGGACCTAAGCTCTCCTAGGTGCCGGAACCATTTCCTAAAGGCCAGCTGCTCCTCATCCCCTAATCCTCCCCTGCAAGTAAAATTGTATGATAATACATATGAGAATAAAATAAATTAAAAAGAACTATTTACTCAGATGTGTGGTTAAAAATGATTTAATTATTATAAATGAAAATAAGGTTGCCATCGATTGGAGTGAATGAAAGACTTCAGTTAAAAAATGCATGTCTCTTACCATGTGCACATAGTGTGGCATTCATCTACTACAATTGTATCAACTTTAAATTCCTGAAGTATTTGCCGGAAGCCACTGTTGCCAACCAATACCTCTGGCGATGCAATAAGATAATCAAACTTGCCCTCCGCAATAATATGGTCACTGTCTTTACTCTCGCCTGTGAAAAAAAAAATGGCTATAATCTTGGTAGCATACTCGTATTATCCGATTGTACCAGGCCCTACATAGTCATAACATTTTAGAGCGCGGAAATGATGAGGGGGACTGTTTGATTTACCTCGACTCTAAAAGTCACACAAAATGAAGATCCGCATTCTTCCCCCCAATGTAATTATATTTAAAAAAAAAAACCTACCTTTGTAAACTGCTTTAACATTTGGAATAGAGTTCAATCTATCCACTTGATCTTGCATTAACGCAATTAAAGGCGAACAAACGATAATCTTTCCGACGTTGTAAGAGTCTAAGTCTGGGGATCTCTGAATCTGCAACTGTTTTCGGACAGGTATCAACATCTGATATGGCAACGACTTCCCATATCCGGTTGGTAAAATTGCCATGCAGTCTTTATTATTCAGAGCTGTCAATAAAATATCCTTCTGTTCCTCCTTTAACGTTTGAATCTTGAAATCTTGCAATACTTTCTCAATAGCATTCTCCAGGTCGGTCGCCATTATCGAAATTTTCCCGAACTTTTTCACAACGAAAAGCGTTTGAAAAAAGCTCTCTGATTGGCTAATCTGAACAATGAATATGCATGACAAGAAGGTCACTGGATTTGACCTACAAATGGGGTTTCGTTAGATCTTTGTGTAGCGATCAAACTGGAGCGGATCAAAGATCTAATCTTCCTGGGAGGCATTTGATGAAATTTTTTGAAACTCATAATGTAAGGATACATTAGTAGTATAGACAAGATAGCGTGGTCAAAATAGCAAGATCTCACGCGCATGCACGTGCGCTTCGCTCTGATTGGCTGAAACTAAAGTCTCAATAACTTTCTTGTTTCTTGTCATAATCCTTTGAAATTTTGAACATAGTCCTACATTATGAAGATCTACCGTACGATATATAAGAATTTTCATGAAAGCATGCGCATGTGCGCGTGCTGCAAGCTGATTGGCTGAAACTTTAAATGGCAATATCTCCTTTGTTTTTTGACGAAATTCTTTGAAATTTAAAATATAGTCATGCATTAGGATATCCTACGAAATGATATAGAAAAAAAATCATGAAATCACGCGCATGCACGTGTGCTGCAATCTGATTGGCTGAAACTTTAAATGGCTATTTCTCCTTTGTTTTTTGACGAAATTCTTTGAAATTTAAAATATAGTCATGCATTAGGATATCCTACGAAATGATATAGAAAAAAAATCATGAAATCACGCGCATGCACGTGCGCTGCAATCTGATTGGCTGAAACTTTAAATGGCTATTTCTCCTTTGTTTTTTGACGAAATTCTTTGAAATTTAAAATATAGTCTTGCATTAGGATATCCTACGAAATGATGTAGGAAAAAAGTCATGAAATCACGCGCATGCACGTGTGCTGCAATCTGATTGGCTGAAACTTTAAATTGCTATAACTCCCTTGTTTTTCAACCAAACAGGATGGGATTTAGAACATAGATAGATGTAAAGGACTCCTACAAGAAGGTATGATCATCATGCACGTGCACGCACGTGCGTGCATTTGAAATGAGTATATTCAAAAATACTCTTGAATGAGTGATTTTTATTACTTTTGGACTGAATGCTTTAATATATAGTATATTAAAATATATAAATAGTGTAGACAAGATGATATGGTCATAACGCACATGCATTCACATGCGCTTGCTAATGCTAAAATTTGAATATAATTGGTATCCTTCTGGGAAAACGTTGTAAAAGCAGGGGCTGACAAATAGATTTTTAAGGCACTAGTCCAAGGGCAAGTAAATGGTCAACATTGACTTGCCCTACCTGAATTTTTGCTTGCCCTACCATAAACTAATTCTGTATTTATAGATATTTCAAAAAAGAGGAGGACAAATGCTGAGTATATCATACAAGCCCCTATGCTCAGCTTTAAATTTATGGCCTACAAATAAATTCTATTTTTGATAAGTCACTTGCCCACGGGCAAGTGGTTGATAAAATTCCACTTGCCCACCCCTAAAATTCACTAGCCCCGGGCGTCGGGCAATGGGATTTGTCATCCCCTGGTAAAAGTCAAAAATGCACAGAGTTTGTCTTATTTAATGAAGCTTACAGGGAATATGGCACCAAAAGGGAGTTGGGGAGCGTTTGGGGAACATCTGTAACGGTTCCCGTTACAATTAGCACTAGTTTTAATTAGATTGTGATAATCTAAATACGGAAATGAAAGAATATCTTTGCCGTGTTTTGATAAAAAAATAATATGCAGCAATTTATTATTATATCGCCTGCTAGTCTTCCAGTTCCTTGGTGTCCATACCCAGTCCACCCAGCTGCCCATATTTTGTGAAACATCATTGAAATTATGGTGAGGAGTTTACTTAATGGCTTGGCTATTTATAGTAGGGATGTCAACGAATAGCTAGTCGACTATTCGACTGTCAGTCGAATGAACCGACGATCGAATAATGAAACAACATTCGAATATTAAATAAATGCAAGAAAAGGCACTGACAATGATATTTTCATCTCAAAAAGGGTCCTTCCTCAAACTATCCCTAATTTATAGTAAACATTTATGTTTATTATTCGATTAGCTACAATTTTTTACTTGAAGAAGAAATATTTTTTCATTGTTTTATTTTTTTTAAACAAATCTTTACAAAGGACCCCCCTTAAGGTACCATACTGTCTGCTTAAACACACTCTTCTAGGATCAAATGCTCATACGGTGTAATTTTTCTGATTTTTTAATTAGTACTAACATGATAAACAAAAAAAATAAAAAAAAAAAAAAAGAAAGAAAGAAAGAAAAGAAATTTATTTCTCTAAAAAAGTATAGACTTGATTTTCATTTTTTTTTCTTTGAAATGTTAGTGGTGCGTTATCAATTTTGTTTTATGTATATTCCTTGTTGTAGCTTTTAAACAAATGGTTTTGTCGTTTCAAAAAAGAACGAAAACATACACACTCCCTTATAAACATGCCCTCTCACGCACAGACATACAAAATTGGTCATTTAAACCTTGAAGGGTAAAGCAAAGGTTATAATTTTTAGGTATGTATACCCATTTTCCTTTTTTGTCATGTTAGAATTGGAATCAATATACAATAAAACGCAAAAACTAATTTTGCAAAACAGTTAAGTTTGATACAAAGCTCTGTCAAATAAAATTATATATAATTTTTAATTATTCAGTCACTGCTCAGTGTTGAATTACTCTTTTCAACATTTCAAAACTAGAGGTACTGTGAGCGATGAGCTCACTAAATGATACCCCCCGCCTCCCATATGGTTATAACTGGTGAAAAAGTCCATGTTTTCCTGTGGCCGGGAAACCCAAAATATGTGTCGGATCAAAAAGTAAAATAGGAGGTGCACAATGGCAATATGTAATAAAGATTCTGTGGAAGTTGCATCAAATTTCATTCAGTGGTATGAGAGGAGTTGCGGATAAGAGATGGGTACCCCAAAGCGTAACAGACGGACGGACGGACAGACGGAAGGACGGACGGACGGACGGACGGACAGACGTACAGACGGACGGAATTAACGATTACTATATACCCTCCCGCTTTTCAAGCGGGGGGTATAATAATTAGAATTATACTCACCGAAGTCTTTTCTATTGACAATGTACATTGAAGTCACAGAGAAATTATTCCCCAAACTAACGTTCCAGGTTGGAGGTGAGGGAAGTTCAGATGTGTGTGAACACGTGTTTATATCATCACCATTACCTAAACCGTCTACAGCTTTATCAGACGTGTAAGCTTCATTCAGAGTTGTCGACTGTTCAGTAGCTTTCCAGAGGGCAATATTCTTACCTAAAGTATAGAATAATTAAATTCAGGGTTGGAAAATACCGGCAGTGGGAATTACAAAAGGTAAATATATCGGTATTTCTCGTCCAGGTAATTAACACAAATTTTATCCAAACTGGGAAATACTGGGAAATACAAAATTTATGAATTTATTTCTTTTAAGGCGTCCGACTGGGGTTTTATTGTGCGAAATCTGCAATAGAGAAACTCTTCAGTTAACATAATTATGTTACTTACACTGACTTCAGTACTAGTATACAAGTCTGGGGGGAAATCTACCGCCCAGGTATTTTTAAGGGTTCGTCGCAAAATACAGGTACATTTACTATAGGATTATATAGGAAAGTGCCAATTGTTCGCACTTTAAAGGAAATTATACAAATACTACAATAGATTTGTGTTCAAATTATACTATATGACGAGTTATATAATATAGTGCATTATATGTAAGAAACAAAAAATTCTACCGTCTGGTTCCCAGAGGGGGCATCACAAAATGCCAAAAAATAAAAAAAATTTCCTGTTTTTATGGAGTACTACAAAATATGACGCATACAGATGATAAGTACTTAAAATTATATGAAAGATCAAAAGAATCTCAAAAGTGTATTTTTTTAATTTCAAGAGCATATGTTAAAAGTCTACTTTAACATTTTTATTTCTACTTCTTTAAGAGATTCAGTTTATCTGAACGTCAAAACACACTAGAAAGACGTCAATCTACCTATCAGATGAAAAATCGTTTTATAAATCAGTAATAACAAAATCGTAATTAAATTTTTTAACCTTTAATTTCTTAATTTTGTCAAATTTGTGAAGTGAAAAAAGGTGCTTTAAAACAGTAAATATTTCACCATGATGTGCTAAGTATTGCGCAATGGAAACCCCAGTCAGCCTCCCTTAATTCACTCAAATCTATACAAATTTCATTAATAAAAATGAACATAAAATAGAAAATGAATAAAATTGACATATATCATAAGTCTGAAATTTTAAAATCACACTTAGTATATCACTACTCCAGGTTTCCTATCCATTATATGTATTCTGTAGCAGAACATGTTTCCCTGTTTGTAGTTTAAGAACAAAACTGATTTTTTGGATTTAAGTTTTTTTTTCAGTTTAGTAGAATTATGAAGTTTATAAATTATAAATTTAAGAACATGATGAAATTGTTTTATTCCTTCTATAAACACTGTAGTGTTTACAATCAATTAATATGTTGTTTTAACAGATTGACTCTCGGTGATCCTGGTTTGAGAGGTAATTGGACTGTACCTGGAGTAGAACTGAAATGAAACATACGGTTATAACGAACAGTATTCAAGATCAGAAGTCCATAAAACAACAGAAAATAGGAGCAGAGCAAACACGGACCTCTAAAAAATTAGAGGTGGGATCAGGTGGCTTATTCTCAAAGGTTTGGCATTTACACTAAATACTACATTTAACAATTTTCTTAGATCCTTCTTTATGTACATAAAAATGTCCAAATGAGATACCTATATGTTCATTTCATGGGCAGGTAAACCAGTACTGTTTTATAATTATTTAAATTGAAATATTAGAAGGGTGTAATACATGTGTATACTGACATAAGATGATTAAGGTAAGGTTTGCGTCTCCCTCCAACTAATACTTTTTTTAATATGCACACATGCTATATATCAATTTATTCAGAGAGATTAGCTTTATCATTTTATATGATTTTCAAAGATATTGCCCGTCCCATATTTTTAGTAAAAGACGCCAAATTTAACGTATTTCATATTTCACCTCGAATATTATTTTCATTGAAAAAATTGATTTATTTTATAAATTATCAAACTTTTATAATTAAAATTACCTGAATTAGTATAATTCATGCTTCTATTATTTAAACTTTTGATTTTCCGTTATCAAAAATGTGAAAAATTGGGAAAAAAGAAGATTTTTTCAATTTTCCTTGATAAAGTGAAACCGTTGCCATGGCAACAAAAATATAAAAATCAACGTTTTACATATCTACCGATTCCTTCAAAATCCATGAAGTTATTAATTTGATCATTTTCATTAATTTGAACTAAAAAAATATGTATGTCCCCAATATTATTTCCATGGAAACAGGGGCTATATTATGGATTTGGAACATAAAAATCAGGCTTTTTCTACACTTTTAAAGACAACATTGATATCACCTTGCATGGTAAATGTTAAAGACTAAATATTATTTTTGATATTGATTTTAGGCATAAACTGGCCAAAAATATTCAAAATAAAACTCCTCCTGTGCTACATGATGGTCTAAAAATTTATTTCGTGGAAGAACTCTATGTATTTATCATGTTTATGGCAATCTTTACATCTGAATATTCTGATGAAATTGTCCATGAATTATACTGCAACACCTTTAGAAGTACATGTATATGTATATAAACATACTTCAGAACATGTTGCAACTAAACCAATTAAAAGCCTATGAATTTGACCTCATGCTGATTTAGTTATTCCAACATGTAGTAAATTCTAGACATCTTTGTAGCAAAATATCTTTATTCAGTTATGGCTGGTGACTGTCATTTTACATGTATGCCTTTTTTTTGAGTGAAATGTTATAAGCATTGCATCCACGAAGCTGCTGTTTTTATAATTAAATGATTTCTTTACTTTGAAGAGTAGAAATGCTATCTTTAAAGTAATGTTTGTTTGCCCTCTCTTGACTCAGGGTAAAATTATTGGGTCGGTAGGTGAGAAAATCTTCAACAACATTTTTTTAAGGGGATAAGAGGAATAAAAAGAAAAATAATACGGCCCTGCATTGAATAAAAGTTTTCAGTCTGGTCATTTTAGTCAGTCGGTCTGGAGAGGCCGACAACCATACATTTTTTAAAGATGGCCTATTTCTACACTTCATGGACATTAGCTCAATGTACAAAACTCATCAGTTTTCAGAAATACTTATTTGAGCATATTAGGTCCTGGTAAAAACAATTTTTATGAATAAAAATATTAATCTTAATTGTTCATGTATTAATTTCCTTGCAATTTTACAAACCTTTTTAAGAAACTTGTTACATGTAAGTTTAGACAAAAGCAACCTTCAATTAATATCTATGATGTATACATTTATTTTACTGAAAACAAATTCAAAGATGGACAAACAGAGCATGCACTGCAATCATCACATACACATATTTTCTAAATATATGGAAAACAGCATGTATATACTAGATAGGATGTTGTTAAACATTAAATTTTCTTCTATAATCTATAGACATATAAAAATATGCATTGGGTATAACAAGTCAGAAGTTCTTCTCCAAATCTCCATTGATGTTGCCATGTCTGGTTCTTTATCTTAGCTTGATCCATCCAATTTTCTTTAATATTCTTGAGCTGATATGGGATGACCTTTTCTTTGATTGATGGCACAAATCATTTAAGGAAACACTGAAGTACTTTTTTTTTGGTCTTATCTATTCCAATTAATGACCCATGATCTGAAATCATATGTGTTCATTTTTACAATAACATTTAAGGAATTGCATAAGTAATTGCACTGAGTTTCATTCACTCAATGAAATGAATAAATTTCCAATATAATCAATGAAGAATCAATATGAAATTATTGTAAAATTTACAGATTGAATTAGTGAAATGCAAATGCTTGATCAAGAAAATTAATGTTCTTGTCATGTACAATCTGTATCTCTTTCTTTTTATTAATTAGAAAATGAGATATTAATTAAAATCAAACCTCATTTAAAAAGGTAACTTGAACAATTGAATACCTGTTCCAATAATGTTACAAATATTAGGCCTAAAAAGCAAGGATTTTAATTTTCATAATTTCTTGAATGAATGCATTTTTATTTTTTGGCTATGTTGGGATATTAGTCACATCCTGACATCCTTGTACCGTTTATTCATCGTTTTTAAATCCGTAGTCAGTAGATCATTCATAACTTACAGTAATAAATAATTACCTGATGAAAATACTATCAACAATCTGCAATCAAACTGTCAACATCCTCATTGGACATGGTCAAATGCACCGTGACTTTTCTTCCCTGTTCGGACTGCATATAGCATAATACTTTACAGGATACTCTCAGGTCTTTTTTTTTTCCCATTCTCACTTAAAATTTTAGTGTAGTGGTGAAGCGAGAAACACACAACAGCACAATGCGTCAAATGCCGTCAATGACTTTCTTCTGATCGGAATGGCCGTGCAACTTGCCACGTTCCGTATCGAAAATAAACAAGTCATCCTTTATCGGTTCATTCACATGCATCACGCTAACCTCAAAGGCTTATAAGATTCCTATGCTTTGATTTGTTAGAAGACTTTCTCCTGAAAACGTCCTTTGTTTTTAGTCCTAACAATAAGTGACAACAAACATCAAGTATGACAGAGGAAATTCGTTAGCGAGATGCTTAGCATCGCTGGTTTAAATTCGCCTGTTTCAAACGCTTTGGTGATTTGCAAGAGTTATCTCCCTGTAAACGCAAACCTTACCTTAAAGTTATAAAGATATCTTTATCTCCCAGTTTTTCTTGGTAAATACTAGTAACTCCCGAGAATTACAGTATTTCCCACCGTCATGGGAATTATATGAGTATTTCCCTTTTTTTGCCAACCCTGTTAAAATTAGAATATAATACAAAACTTTACAAAGTTAAAACATTAATCAGCACATTTTCTTTAAAAAGAACTTCACACAGAAGATACAAAATATACCTACCACCGAACACCTCTATTTCTTTAATGGTAACTTCTTTACTAAAATACATTGACAAACTTTTTGTTTTGAACACTCGATCGAAGTAAATCGTAGTTGTTGATGGAACAGCAGAGTAACAAATTCTGTTTCCGGAGTCTTTTATTGTCAGATGAGGAGAATCACCTCGTAAAACTTCAAGGAAAACAGTTTTTTAACGTTGAATGCAGATAAGAGATAACCATCTTTGATATTGATATATAATTTGAACGTGTCAACAATGATCCTTGTCAGTCATGTCTTGTTATCATATTACATGATTAAGTATGAGGAAGAGAGACAAAACACTTACAAAACAGGTAATTTTTTGATGTCCTATTCAATAACATATTCTTTTTAACCGTGTTTCAAACACTTAAGGAATTTTACCATGTAAAGTCATAGCAGAAACGATAAAAATGCCTCCAAGCTGAACGTTTGCTGTTTTAATTGTCTGAAATGTGCTTTGATTCCCATCAAAAGGCTCATCCATGTTCATGCCTCGAAAAGCTAAGTTAACTAAAAGTACAAAGATGTAGATACATGTATCAATCTGAGGAGAAGATTATCGAACGATTTGTCATATATATTTCTACATTGTAAGTAACGACAAACGATGATTAAAATGTCTTCAGAAAAGCTCACTTGAGTTTGCAGCTCAGGTGGGCTAATTACTACCAAATAGGCAGGTGTTCAATTCACAAATAAATGAATAAATAACAAGTTGTGCGTAGGCAGTCTTGTATTCTGTATCAATCACCAAGTAAATCATAGTAATGGTCTGATTTAACCCAAAAAAAAGCCAACAAAATAAAAAAAAAACATATATATGATAATCAAAATAAGATCCCTCCAGTAATTTTTCAATTATTTGAACCATGTTAATTTTTTTTGTACTATATAAAACAAAAGCTTTAACAAATTCATAATCCTTTCTTGTTTGTTTGTCGGCGCAAATTGCCGTTTAACAGGTCGGAGGGAATACTCGAAATCGGGTATTATCCGTGAAATCGCGTATAATACCCGATATTAGGGTATCGTTGAATCCGCGAAATCGGGTATCCCGTGCAACTTTCTTTAAAAACAAAAGAATAAAGCAACGGCGCATTATGCCAGTTACTGTTACTTGTACATCAGTATCTTGTGGATTTATTTTTATTAAACCTAATTCATACGGTTGTCAAATAAGTTTAAAATCACACGACAAACACTCCTGGGGTAACAAAGAGGACATAATGGCGTTATTATTTTTCAATATAATTTCTAAAAACAAATAACTACACTTCGTTTGTCTTTATTTCCCATTAAAGTATTCCATATACTTAATTTTCTAACTTGTGCACTATTCACAAAATGTGAACCTTTAAAGAAATTAAACGACTAAATCCGTGTTATGTATTTTTACTGAAAAATGTATGGCGTACCTTTCACGTGAAACATAAATTATTCCTAACAGTTAGAGAGTACAGTTTAAGCGAGTCATAATTGTATATCTCTGCCATAATAGAATACCAACGTTATTATAAAGAAGAAAATAAATAACATTAAATAAATACCCACGGGAAACAGGTTGAAAATAGCTAATTGAAGGTGAGTACCTTTTTTATGTCAATTTAGCATGGAAATTATCATTCAAAGACACCGTAAATTTTTTGGTTGCATTTTGATTGATACAAGATATGCTATTTTTTCTTTATTTTATGCATTTGTGTGAAAATTGAGAGCGAGAAGTCATATGAACAGGATTTTCTTTTTTTTGGGGGGGGGGGGGGGTTATAAATAAAAGTCAAATATGTACATCTTTTCATGAGCTTATAATACATTGAATTTCTCAATATAGATCGAGGTACAGTCATATTGAAATATGAATTACATAGTCAAAATTTCACATTTCTTATAGTTTTTACGTTTATGAATATGTTAATGAACAAACTGAAATAATGGAGTGTTCAATTGCCTTGGAAACTCTTGTCTTAATTTTTGGGAATATAATTCCTGATCAGACATTAAAATTTCATAAAAATTGTAGCCACTTCCTTTCTTTATTATACTATTTGATAGACAGAGTAAATTTTACCTCTTTACCTTCTATATTTTTCTTATATCGCTATCTTATACCTCATTATAATATGCGAATACAATGCACTATCTGATTGGTTCTAGACAATATGTCACAGTTTTCTTTTAGTTATTTTATCTATGATACTTATTACTCATGGCAATAACTTTGCCTAATACATGTACTCATCTATAATGAAAAAATGTGTTAAAAAAATAAACATGAATTCTAGTTACTTGTAGTCTCATATTGTGTTAGAAAATAACAGGTTGCTTTTTGTTTACTTATATAATTTTTATTTGATGAATAAATCTTCCCTACAATTAAAAATATATAACCGAGTTTAACCGATCGTGACTTTCAAAGAGAGGTTTCTTGGACACATGTAGAACACAGTCGAGGTTGTTTTGTCAGAGGTGGTTAAGAAGTCTTTAGCCCCCCCCCCCCTTGAAGTCGCCAAGAAATGGTAATATTGATGACTTAGCGAAATCAAACGATCAACAGTTACGTTTTCTCATAAGCTGTATTCCTGAAACTATTACTGTCTCTGCTAAAATGCTGAAGACATATTCTACAAATATGTATGAATGATAAAAAAAAAGATTTTCAAAAAAAAAAAAAAAAAAAAAAAAAAAACAGAAAGAGGTTTTTTTAACCGAAATTTTAGACATTTTTATCATGACATTATATATACATTCATAAATGAATTTGATTTTATGCACAAGATGAATGTGAAAGTAATTAATGACGCATAATTAGATACGATAGACAATCCCTTTGTAGAGAATTTATATTAGTTGATTTTCAGATTCCGGATTGTTAGCTACTTATTATTAATCTCCCATTTAGCTGTATCACCTTATCTATTAGTAAGCATAGTCAGTTTATTGCCCTTTAATTACCGTGATAATTAGTTAATCACGGGTGGTCCTTGTATAATTTTATGTATTGCCTCCCCACTTAGAGGAGGTAGAATTTTCACTCCCCACATTGTGGAGGTTCAGTTTACTATATAAATGAGCGCATTTGATCATTTAAGGTAGATGAAGTTTAGTTGTTGTAGTTTTGTGTTTAGAGAGTTGAAGAAAAGTTATTCTATAGAGATAGTTGAAGTTAGTGATGCTATAGGATGTTGATAGAATTGATTCAGAATGGATTTATACTGGATTACGGGATTTTAGGATTTTATATACTGTATTTTCATTTGGATTATTGTCCCCCGCTTGAAAAGTGGGGATATTAATTTGGGTTTGTCCGTCCGTCTGTCCGTCCGTCCGTCCGTCTTTCTGTCTGTCTGTAACGCTTTCGTTTCCACGCGATATCTCGAGAACCGTTTGAGCTTTTGCAATTAAATTTAGCATAGCAACTCCCTATGGACTGAAGAAGAACCCTATTGATTTTGAGGTCAAAAGGTTAAAGGTCAAGGTCATAAATAAGCAAATTCTGTCTGTTATAATACTTTCGTTTCCACACGATATCTCTAGAACCATTTGAGCTATTGCAATGAAATTTTACGTAACAACTCCCTGTGGCCTAATGAAGATCCCTATTGATTTTGAGGTCAAAAGGTCAAAGTTCAAGGTCGTAAATTTACACATTCTGTCTGTGTGTAACACTATCATTTGCGGGCGATATTTCAAGAAGATTTTGAGCTTATGCAATGTAATTTTATACCAAAACTCCCTAGGACGTCTCTCGCCCCTCTCAAAGTGCCCCGCCCCGTTTGTTTTATTAGTATTTATAGTATTACATGTCGCTATTTTTAGCGCAGGGGCATGAGGAGAGTTATTGCGTATAAAACAGGTTCTCGGCGGACTTTATGTTCTTATTACATCTATTAGAACTGTTTGATAAAGGCTAAATAAATAAAACACCATGGATTGTGTAAAATTTTGAGAATACCGAACATGAAAATATATAATATATACATGTATGTGACTTCAGTTCTGCATATGCTTCACATCGTGTAAATCGATTCCGTGGTCTAGTGGTTATGTCACTTCAAATGTGAGAGGTCCCGGGATCGAATCTCGGCCGCTCCTTTCTTTTTTTTCTTTTTTTTTTTTAAAATACTTTTCTTTTTTTTTTTTTTACTAAATGATAGTATTCAGCATGTGAAATGAAAAATTTATGAGTTATAAAATCATCATTACAGTGTGATAAATATTCCATATGAAAAGAATCTTCTATACACATAATAAAGAATAAGCAATCAAATCTTTAAACGCATATTGACATACTTGTATTTTATTTGATTCAGTATACATGTATACATTTAATAATTCTACAAATTCAGTCAGGGGGATCCGACTTTTTTCCTAAGCGGGGGACACGAATTCTCTGAATTAGCTTGTTTTACATTTATTTCTACTGTGAAATGTGGACTATGTGTGTGTGTAAATATTGTGTGTAGACATGTAAATAAATTAGTGAACTTTAACAGTTGTTTAATACGGACTTATCATTCAGCACAATACTAAGGAAAGTTGGAACTTAAGGGAAAACCGCTCGGACAATAAATATGTAGACACTCGGCAGTATAAGCCGACTTCCCTGCAGCTCGGCCTGCGCCACAACTGGTGGCCAGCGGTGGGATCCGTGTTGATTCATGTGGATTTGTGAGATTCATATGGATTTAAATTCATGGATTTTACGGACCGTTCAAAATAGTGAATGAATTGGATAATTTCAGTGAAATTGAAAAATGGAAAAATTTTCATTTGTGAAACATTATACCATTAAGAAAAATGGAGTTGGGTATGTGAAATATTTTGTGGACTTGGAAATTTACGATTTAAAGTGTACCAGATGTGATCACACATTCTCTAAATCTAAAGCCAAAAACAAAGTTATAATGGAGTGTGAAAAATGTGCAACCTCAGTGTTCCGATTTTTCTGTCCTCGTTGTGGCAATGTGGAATACCGTTAGTGCATTCGCAAAAATGAGTTATGTCAACGTATATGATTTAGATGAATCCGGAAATTTTGTGTTAATTGGAAGTGTTAATGTTAACCTCCGAAAAGAATGTTCAAACTGCTATGTAATGTTTGTGAAAAGTGAGAATCGCCATTGTATTAATTCTCAACATTATGTTTGGAGGGGAACGCACGACGTTTTCACCGAGAGATATGGAATTAACTGGTAATGTACCCTCAGCCAGCACACCTGGATTACAAGTAGGAACCTCACCAAAAACGCCAGGATCAACAGCAAGACGCAGACTTTTACCAGAATTTGATCAGGAATCACCATCACCTATTCTACCTACAGAATACAGTGAATCTACAGCAATGTATGAGAACAACATTCATTGCAAATCTTTGGAAAATAAGGATTCCGGATGGAGTTCTTTCCTGAGATTATGGACTACTGTGATTTTACTGTGTGTGCTAGTGATTATTACTGTTTACCATTATTTTCCGGGATTCTACTGTATTGCCTTACGAGAGAAAGTT